GATCCGTGCGAGCCCATTAGTCCACGTTAGGATCCTACCAGTCTATTGTTCCTAGACCCGAAGGTCTGTTTGACTGCATGGCCAGGCTAACACTGGCGAGGCTATCTTAATACATAGCAGCCAGCAGCCAGGCGGGGCCTGGAGATCTCCCGCTTTTACAACTGATCTCCAGCTGACAGAGATCAGCTCCCCTGGAGAAAATGGCTGCTTTGGAGGGTGGACTCTATGGCATTGTACAATGCTGAGGTCCCTCCCCTCCCCAAACCCCGCCCTTTCCTGGATCCACCCCCAAAGTCTCCAGATATTTTCCAACCCAGACCTGGCAACCCTAGAAGGATTATGTTGGATTTTATGGTCAGCGTTCCCTCTAAGATGAGTTAGTGTGAGCTAGCTCACAGTTTTTTAGTCTCTGGCTCATCCATTTTTGTCTTAGCTCAGGAAGGATGGCTCCAGAGCAAACTAATTTATGCAGTAGCCAAATCGCTACTCTTTTCATCTCTGTAAACATAGCTTGGATGTCTTTTTTTTGTTATTGAGTCCTCACATTTTCTTTTGCCTGTTTGAGATGTTGCTTCTTCGTCTGTATCTGCTTCCAATGGGGGAGGAGACTCTTCCTCCGAAGACTGCATTATTCTATCTGTTTGTTGAGGTTCTTTGGTGGGTTTTTTACCTCCTTTTGGCCGCCCCATTCCTCTCAATGAACAACTATTAGCTTTAGAGTCCTCTATTAATCTTGTTTTGACGTTTTTAGGAGCTCAGATGCAGAGGCTGCTTCAGTCTTGACCATGCAGAGTACTCGCGGTCACCAGAAACTCCTGGATCTATGTTCTTGAGGCCTGGTGGTGCCATGAAAAGGTGGACCCATGTGAAGCAGAAAAGTTAAGCGAAGAGATGGATTTGGCCTATAGAGCCTACTCCAACTTTATAAAGAAAAATAATCTGCTAGCGGAAGTGGTTGTTAAATTTACCAAACAACGCATCAGAGATCAAATTTTAAAAGCGACATCAGCAACGCCCTTGAAGATTGGAGAACAGACCATAAGGATTTTAAAAGATGTACCGTTTGAAATTTGGCAGAAGCGGAAGGCTTATAAAGAACTGACCACATTCTTGCAAAATCACCAAATTAATTACAGATGGTTGATTCCAGAAGGACTCGTCTTTAAATTTAAAGACAAGAGAGAAAAGATAGACTCCATTTTCAAAGCACAAGACTTTTTGAAGAGACACGCCAGTTCAGAGGACAAAGCAGAACTTGCTAAATGGAAGGTATTTAGCAGTGAAGAAGACAGCGGCTCAGAAGGAGGTGACAGGGAACCGGAGGAAAGAGGAGCGGTAGGAGGTGCTCCCTGCAACTTGAGAGACAAAAAAGGTAAAGAAGAAGGAAGATCGGCCATTCACAGAAGAAGCTATAAGATTAATATACTAATTTAATCATCACTCACCACTATTCTTAATCCCTCTATATACCCTCCTTTTTTCTGAAAATTTTAAAAGCAATAAAATTATCTCCTTTTGAGGAGAGTTTTATATATAAAAAAGGTGGACCCATGCTTTTTGTGGTACAATAGGTCACCATGGATGTGATATGTGATTTTTTGTTAACCCTACGTAAAACTTGTGAGGATCCATTCTTTGGATCCATGTTTCTACTCTGTGGCAGTGCCATGAAACAATGGATTTGTGAATTCTGTGGTGCAATCAATGGCTATGGATGTGGTAAGTAATTTTATGGTGAGTCTTGCATGACCTAACCTTAAAATCCATGCTTTGAATTCAGGTTTTTGTGCTGTGGCAGTGCCACAAGAGGTGGATCTGTGATTTTTGTGGTACAGTCTGTGGGGGTGGACATGATATACGATTTGATGGTGACTTTGGGGTGACCAAAAGTACAAATCACACAGATCCATGCTTCAGAACCACAGTTTTATGCCATGGTGGTGCCATAAACCAGTGAATCCATGATTTTTGTGGTCCAAACTGACTTTGGATATGCGATATGATTTGCTAGTGAGTTTGGGGTGACCCAATGCAAAAATCCTGAGGATCTGTGCTTTGAAACCATGTTTTTGTGCCATGGCAGTGCCACAAAGTAGTGGATCTGTGATTTTTATTGTGCGGACGTTGGATATTGACATAATAACATGATTTGATGGTAAGTTTGGGATGACTCAATGCAAAAAACATAAGGCCCCATGCTTTTAAAGTGTATTTTTGTGCTCCAGCACTGCCACACAGTGGTGGATGCATGATATTTGTGTTGCAGCTTGTGGCCATGGATACATGTAACTGGATAATGAATTTGGTGTGACGAAACATGATCCATGAGGATCTGTGTTTCAGAACCACAATTTTGTGCCTTAGTGGCACCATAAGGCATTGAATCTATGATTTTTCTCATGTAATAAGGACATGATAACATAATTTGATGGTGCAGTTCGGGTGATGCAAAGCAAAAACTGTGAGGATCCTTGCTTTGGAACTATGTTTTTGTGCCACGCTGGTGCTTTTGTGGTGTTGACTATAGTCTAAGTCATGATCTAGAATATGAAGGCAGTTTTTAAATTTTGTTTCATGTAATACCAATACCCAGGGGTTCAAACCAATCAAGCCCCAAAAGGTTAACTCTGTTACCCTCAGCCACAAGCAAAGACAGTTGAGCACATTTCCCCTTAAATTTGACAGTAAACGTATCCCTCCCCGCCAACGGTATGCGCTTGCCCTGAAAATCGGACACTTGTGTGTCCGCCGGCTTCAGCCGCCGTCGGCTCCTGGTGGGAAATAGCCGCTGCCACGTGTGTGCAGATAAAACGGTCACGGACGATCCCGAGTCGACCTCCATGCTGCACAGCACTCCATCAAGGTGGACGGTCACAAGGATCTTTCCGGCCCCTCCGACTCGTCGAACCGAAGGCTGGGACGACACGCTCGATGTCATCTGACAGCTGGCCTCCTGTTGTGCGGGTCGGGAACGTTGGTTCCTGGGGGAAGACTTTGAGGTTGGAGACTTCGGTGCTTTGCAAGCACGAGCGATGTGGCCCCGCCTACCACACGTTCTGCAGTCAACGTCCTTGGTCTAGCAGCGCTCCCGAGGATGCCTCCCGCCACAGCCGGTACACAATGGGCTGTTTGAAGTCTTCGCTGGGGTCCGCTTGTTCGCTTGCCTGCCGACAGCGCAGACGTCATTTTGAGCGCCTTCGCACTCAACGTCGGCCCCCTGGTGGTGGACCCGCAGTTCTGTGGCGGCTAAACGTTGTCTCACCTCTCGGGTCGATTTGTCTGCGGCCTCGGCGGCGACAGCCTCTGAATAGGCATCGGCCCACGTTAGGGTCTTCTTCGCGAACAACCGCTGCTGCAGTCGTTCGTCTCGCATGCCGCACACCAGCCGGTCACGGAGGGCCTCCTC